GTCGGGCACAGGGGCTGAAGGGAGGCGTGCCAGACCACTGCTACCCACCCAGCCCTTCATCAAGGGGCAGGTGCAGAGCGGCCAAGGCGGACCCCAGCATGGGGCAGAGCCTGGTCAGGCCTCACCTCTCTTCACTTGCAGCATCAACTGTTTTTCTCTCTTAATGTCACCTGTAAAGATTACATGCTTACTCATATTTGCTCTTTCTTGGCCAAAGTTGCTAGAGAACTTGCCAGCTAAATACCTTGGAAAGATGGCTCAATGCCTGCATTCTCATATAAATATGTTCAAGGTAGTGTAGAATATTAAATAGAAACATGAACAATGACCCATCAATTTCCCTGTTACCCAGTTCTCAGCAGTGCCTTGCCACAGCAGATAGCCACTGAATATGTACAGTACTGATTTCTGATGGATTAACGTAGATTGTTTGTTATGATTACCTGAATATTCTTACCTGAATATTCTGATCTAAAATACTTATTTTAATAGTTTTTTATCTATATTGTGGCCATTAATCCTTTTCATGGCTATCCCTTCTCTGATGTGAAAAGGGTACGTTCTATAAAAATGTAGCCTAAACAGAGGTTTTCCCCATGTCTTCAGTTCTGAATCTGCTATATAGCTCTGAAAATGGCTAAGCTAAATTTCTATTCTTTATGTTAATTAGAATATAATAAACAAGGGCCATGGATTTAGCTCAGTGGTGCTGTGCCTGCCTTGAAAGCGCAAGGTCCTGAGTTCGATCCCCGGGATGGCAAAAAAAAGAATATAATAAACAAAAATGTCTACAAATATTTCGATAGGGGCATTTGTTTGATGAAAGAGGAATCATTTTTATCATACATGCTTGTTGATTTTTTTTTTTCATGCTGATTCCTTTACGTACTAATGTGGGCCAGAAGAAGAGAGCAACACCATGGAATACCTTACTGTATATTGTCTTATAAAAATACAGGTTTTGCCATTTTTATAAGCTCTAGCCCCTCCCTTCAAATGAGGAGACCTTTCTATCTATGACTAAATTCACCAGTCCCAGAAGAAAAGAGTGATATACCTAACCACATTACAAAGAAAAACACTTCTACATGGCAAAAAGACAAAAAACAATGTAACTTTGAGGAAATATTTCTAACTTGCATCACAAAAAGTTCACCAGTTATATACAGAATTCTTAGTAATAAACAAAACCAAACCCAAAACTAAAATCCCCATAAAAAATAAGCAAGGATAGTAAAGACAGAAGAAACACAATAAGCTTTAAATATATGAATGGCTGGGGTGTAGTTGTGACAGCATGCCCTTGCTTTGATCCCCAGCACCACAGAAATAAAAATTTTTAAAAGTAGTTGGGCATGATGGCACATGGCTGTAATATTAGCACTCAGGAGGCTGAGGAAAGAGGATTCACCATGAGTTCAATGCCAGCCTGGGACAGTGAGTTCAAGGCCAGCCTGAACTATATAGCAAGACCTTTTTTTTTCTTTTTTCTTTTTTTTTTTTAGTACCAGGGATTGAACTCAGGACCTTGCGCTTAGCAGGCAGATGTGGTGCCACTGAGCTAAACCCCTGGCCCAGCAAGACCTTTTCTTTTATTTTTTTATTTTTTTATTTTTTAAGACCTTTTCTAATAAGAAAATATGGAAAAATGTCCAACCTTATTTCTAAGATAAAAGTAAAATGAAAACTACATTGAAAACATATTTCACTAAAAGTTTAGCAAAAACAATCCTTTCCTCCATTTCTTTCTTTCTTTTTTTTTTTTCTGGTACTGGGGGATTGAACTTGGGACCTTGTGCTTGCCAGGCAGGCACCAGAACCACTGAGCTAAATCCCCAGGCCCTTTCTTCCATTTCTTAGGTAAGGGTATGAGTTGGAAAAGTAAGATAAAGTCAGACAAACTTCAGAAAGTAATTTGACAGTATCTCTCAAAACTGAAAATTCATGTCCTTCGACTCACTGAATTCCACTTCTGGAAATTTATCTTAAGGATATAACTTACATGTAAAACAACACGTACAATAGGTTATTCACTGCATTATTGTTTGTCATGGCAAAAACACTGGCAACAACCTAAATGACCCATAGATAAGAGGACTGGATAATTAATTTATGGTTCACTCATAGTAGGGGATACTATCATATTATAAAAAAATTTTTTTAAATGAGGAAGTTCCCTGTGAGTTGACATGAAAGATCTTCTAGTCATGTATTAAGAGGAAAAAGCAAGATAGAGAACAGTGTGTAAGTGTGCTGTATTTTGGGTAAAAAAGAGGAAAGGTTATTCCTATGTGCTTCTTGGCACATAAAAAACTCTGGGCTTGGGCTGGGGATTTAGCTGAGTGGTTTCGCCGCCTGCTGTACAAGTGCAAGGATCCGAGTTCGATCTCCGGTACCAAAAAAACCCCTCTGGGCTCAGCCCATTAACAATGAAGGAGAGGGGCCAGGGATTTAGCTCAGTGGTGCCACCACCTGCCTCGCAAGTGCAAGGTCCTGAGTTCCATCCCTGGTTCCAAAAAAAAAAGAATAAGGAAAACAATGGAGATCTGGTTTGAGAAACTGAAAGTGTAAATAAGGATTAAAATTATTAAAATGAATAACTTATAATTTGAAATAGGAAGAAAAGTCCCAAGGGCCGGGGATTTGGTTTTGCTCAGTGGTTTTGCTGCCTGCTGCATAAGCACAAGGACCTGAGTTCGATCCCCGGTACCAAAAAAAAAAGAAAAGGCCCAAAGGGGTAGGGGAAGTGGGAGGGGAAGAGGAAAGGAAAGAAGGGAAAGGAAAAACTATGAGAAAAGGAAAAAAAGGAAACAAAGTGTTTGTAAATAGGGAAGGGCGCACAGGGAATGGGGAAAAAATAAGAACCAAGATACATCATGTACAGGTACAAGTACCCAGTGATAAATGTAAACGTACTGTATACCTGAAATGTACCAATAAAAGAATTTAAGGAAAAAAACAATGAGGGAGAGCAGAGGGGACGGTGGCCAAAAGTTGCCTTAAGAGGGAGACTTTTATGAAAATGTTTCAAATTTTTTTTGCATTTGAAGCTTATTCAAAAAAGTTAAACTTCCAAGCTTTTAATTCAGCTTTGGTAGGATGATGGTATTAAGAAAGAGTGATTTTTCATGAGGCGGCACAGTTGCTTGGTACAGTCTTGCAGGGCTCCCCAGTCACTTCTGCCCCTCAGTCTTGCCTCCCCTGGGAACCACTGGGAGGTGCTAGGTGTGGAGTCCAGCGCAGGGCCTCTACCCTGAGCAGCATCCCTCGGTTCCACCAGCCCTGGCTTCCTCTGGGCCTAGGTGGTGTTTCACCCGGCTACCCAGTGGATACCTGAGGACATCTGGTGGACTGATCAGGCCTCTCAGGCTTTATCTCCTTTCATCACAAGCTCTTATTATTTCCACTTCTTCCTTTCAAGGAAATCAAAATATTAGAGTAGTAGAACAAGGCAGAAAGGCACCTAGTTGCCAGGTAAAATGGATCTCCTAAGAGTGTATCTTCAGGTTAAAAGAAAAAAGGCAGTTTCCATCTTATTGATGAAAATGTGTTTGCTTTCTACTCAATTACCCATTGTGTTAGATGGTATTTTCTGGTTCAAATGGCTGTCTGTGTAAAATACCAACATTTAAAAATCTATTTCCTCCATTCCCAGTTCAATGTCGACAACTCTATTGCTAGAATCTGCAAGTTGATGCCTTTCCAGCCAAAGGATAATTCAGGTGAGAGGTTTGATTTAATGATACAAACGTGATCTCACTTCTCCATGTGAGCAGCTTCCAAAGGAAAGAAAATCACTTGGGAGGCGAAATCAGAGCGGCTGTAACAGTCCAGCGTGTGCTGTGCTGACTGATGGGGTGGGTGACAGGGAGCAGGCGTCTGAAACACTCCCGTCAAGGCCAGAACCCCCAGCCCGGCAACCCCTCCCAGAGGTAGAAACCCCCCCTCTGCCAGCTTCTGGTGATGGGAGTGGTGCCCCTGCAGGACACTCGGAGAATTGCTCCAGACACAGCACTCCCACCGCGTGTTTTCTGGGTGACCGGTTGTAAAGGGATGATGGCCGATGGCCGCGGTTGGATTCGTCTGTTTCCTGCAAGGGGTGGGGTGGGGTGGGGTGGGGTGGGGGATCTGGGCCGCAAACAGTGATGGCCCAGAGGGCCCAAGAAACTGGCCAGGGGTGCTTTAGCCCGGGAAGCCCTGTTCCCTGAACCGCATACTGAGGGAGGGTAGTTTAAGGCTGGTTCCCCTGGGTTTAGCATCTCTTCTCTACTGCCCTATAGCCTTTTCTTCTCCAAGCCCCAGCTCCCCCTTTCTTGTGCATTCCCAGCTACAGACTCCAGAACACATTCTTGGGCCAGTGTGGCTAACCTTCCTGGGCCTCATTTTCCACTTTTGTATTAAGACTAAACTTACAACTCCTTTAGAAAACTACTTAGTAGTATTTTATAAGTTAAATCTACGTTTACTCTATGCCTAGCAATTTAACTCTTGAGTATCTAAGCAAAGTTAAAAATCTACCTCCACGGAAGCACTTGCCCGTATTCATAGCAATTTTATGCAAAATAACCAAAGACAACAACTGGATCCATCAACAATACAATAACACATTGTGATACACTGATACCTTGGAGCCCTACACTTCACTCAGCAATGGGGTGGAGGGGACACCTGCGGATACACACTATAGCACCCACCTATCTCAAAAGCACATTTGTCAAAACTCGTAGAACTGTACTCTAAAACTGGTACACTTCATTGTATGTACATTAAACCTCCATTTTTTCCAATTTAAAATATCTTTGAGGGCTGGGGGTTTAGCTCAGTGGTTTCACCGCCTGCTGCGCAAGCACAAGGACCCAAGTTCAATCCCCGGTACCAAAAAAAAAATCTTTGAAAAATATCTTTGAAATAATAAGGTTGCTGTAATTATTAAATAAGTTAGCAAGCACATAAAGTGTTTAGAAGTGGTGCCTGGCACACAGATACAAATTGGTCCAAAATCTGAGACACTGTGGAAAGACTTATATTTGAAAGTAATATGTGTCAGAATTTTCCATACAGGGCATTTGTAAGAGGGAAGAATCTCTTTACCACTGTCCCCAGCCTCCTAACGGGTGTGAAGATCAATCATTACCTCAGCCAAATTTGCATTTAACACAACATAACACCAGTGTGGACGGCTGTCACTCAGTTTAACTTTCTGACATAATCTCTATATCTGAGAAACACTGCTTCAAGTCCAGAAGGCAAAGAAGCCCAGAATGCAAAAGACTGGATTCTCCTGACCTGGAGACCACATAGGCAGCAGTTCCTGGGAGGAACTCTCAGCTGCACCGGAAGGAAGACACCACACCAGACGCTTCTTTCTGTGGGGCGCCTTGGGGAGGGAAAAGAGCTTGACCACCTGGGTTTAAATACTGGTTCTGTCACATCACAGGTGACCTTGTGGAAGTTATTGAATCCCCCCAGGCTCGATTTCTCCATCTGTAAAATAAATGAGAGAAGTAAAGGCGCTCTGAGCACCCTGGCAGAGTGACTGCTAGTGGGGCGGCACCCAGGGCTCTTCTCTGCGGGAGAAAGGGGAGAGAGAAGCCCGCGGAGGATCAGGAGGGAGCACCTAGGGCTGGGCAAGATCAGAGGGTGCTCGGAGAAAGGGTCTATGAGAAACAGCCAAAAGGGCGGAAAGGAAGGCCGTATCTAGGGGAATGAAAGGCTGGGCCCTGTGCTGAGGTGTCAGATCCCCGCTTCGGGCTTTTCTATAAAATCCCCGTGAGTACTACAGCTCTGGTGTAAGTGGCTCTCCAAGAATAAGTGGGACGATTGCTCAGCCGTGCTCCAAGTGCGGGCAAGGGAGGAAGGCAGGTTGCAACACCCACATCTGGTTTACTCCGTGCCTTCTGGGCTCAGGGTTTGTGCCTAGTAAGTGACAGACATCTTAGGTCGTCACGTTTGTGTACAGTCTGGCAAAGGAAACAGCCTCGCTCCAGCCCCGGGCTCACGTTAGTGGCCCTACCCCAAGCGCTTCTCCGCTAACAAAGGAGTCTTGGTCTGGGTGGGCGGTGTGCGGTGAGGACGTGGCTCCAGTAGGCTCCAGTTCTGCCTCACCGTGGACTGGCGAACTCTCCCCTTTTGGGGCGCTGATGATCCCTCGTGCTCCCCACTCAGCTTCCCGCTGGTTGTGGCCGCGTGGCCGGCGGGACATTGACCCGAGCGCGTAGGCTGCCGGGGCTCGGCGGCGCGCGTGACTCCAGCTCCCAGCCCGGCCGCCCAAGGCTCAGGGGCGCGAGGCGGGAGCGGCGCGCGCTTCCCAGGGCCAGGTCGGGGTCAAGGTCTCGGCCCATCCGCGGGCGCCGCCCCCTGGCGTTGAGCCTGCGGAAACGCGCGGCCGCCCCCGCACGGATCTGGCGCAGCCGGTTTAGCCGCCGCCAACGCGGCCAGACGGGGCACCACGCTGACCTCGGGCCAGGAGGCGCAGAGGCCGCGGCCCGGGCCTGCGCTCAGCCTGATCAGAGCAGATTGCTCCAGATGGGGTTTAACTCTGACTCTCGCCTGCTGCTTGTGTTGGGACAGGCGTGTGGAAAAACGGGGTCAGGGCCCAGGATCTAAACTGGTGGTGCAGGGACTGATGAGAACCAAGCTGTCCTGCAGGGCAGCACTGCGGACCCACGAAGCAGCTCGTTTCTGACCCCTCCCCCGACGGCACCCTACCCATTGCGCCCCAAACCTCTGTTTTGGAAATAACCAGGAACGCTCCTGACTCTGACACCTTCACCTGCGGCATGTCAGTCTGCACAGACCTGAGGTTGCCCTCTTTCTTCGGGCCTCTACCTTCGGTCGCCAAACTTGGCCTTTGTCCTGCTGCTTCCTCCTCCTCCTCCCATCTCTTCTTCCCCAGTGACCCAGTGTCCCCCAGGCCCCTCATCAGCCTCACTGCCGAAGCACGATGCTGCTGGAAGTGCGGACTCCTTCAGCTCTAACCCTGGTAGTAGTCACTGTTCACCCCCATTTTCAACTCCTTCCCAGTCTAACCAGTTCTGTAGTTCTCTGGCTCTCTGGGCTCCACCTCACTACTCTCCACCCCAACATTCCCCTCACGTTGGTCTCCCTTGTGGTCGTCATGGTTCCTGGCTCAGGCCCCATCCAACCTTGAATACGGGATCCCCAGGAGCACCTTCTGATGGGGCCTGATAGCGTCTGTTTGGCTGCAGTGTCCTCCTGTGAGACTGCAGTCCCCAGCTGGGCCTCCACCCACGAGTGTGCTCACAGAGCCATAGGGGGATCTTGAGGTTGGCAGGGTCCTCTTCGAGTCCAGCAGAGCAGATTCGGCCCCCTGCTTTTTCTGCTGGAGGAACTGGACCCTGTTCCTTAGGATCAGCCACCGTGGAGTCCTGCATCCTCCTGAGGTAGAGGCTACCTGAGTCTCAAGGCGAAGGAGGGGACCTGGCCTCCCCCTTCCCCTGGCACACCCAGGATTTCTTCCGGTGAGTCACTGGAACATTCCCACCGAGAACTGGTAAAGGAAACAAGGGCTCATGGCTGCTCCTTTTCTCCAAGTAGAGAGGGACAACACTGCCACTTTCTGGGTGCTTGCTGAGTGTAAGAAGAGGACTGCAGAAGGGTGGATCATTACCCTCTTCCCTGACTTGCTAAGTTTCTTTTGGTTTTTTTTTGTTTGTTTGGTACCAGGGATCTAACTTGGGACACTGTGCTTTTGAGGTAGGCAGCAGAACCACTGAGCTAAATCCCCGGCAGGGGATGTAACTCTGTCCCTCTGGTTTACCTCTGCAGCACCCACTACACTTCAGGCCGGCCAGCCCATCACAGCACCAAGGCCAGGCCCTCCCAGGGGCACTGGGGCTGTGTGCCAGGGCGGGGCTGAATGTGTGTTCACTGGGCCCTGTTACTCCTGGAGGCCTTCACAGAGCTGTTGTCCCTGGTCTCAGAGGACACACTGTGCCCTGGGCCTAGATGAACTCAGGTTCCATGCTTCCAGGGGTCCATACTTGAAATAGCTCTGCCACATCTTAGGGTTTCTTACACAAGCAAAAACATTGAGGGAGGGGCCATGGAGGTGACTATATTTTTAGTTTGTCAAGGGAGTTCATTGAAAACCATTGCCATTTATAATCACCATCATTCTGTTTATAAACAGACCTTTTAATTACCAAAAAACCCAAAACAAAACCAAGAATAATATCATTTCAGAATTGATGAAATTTTGCTTTTTTTTTTTAAAAAAAGAAACATATTGGAATAATTTCAAATTTACAGAAAATTCATGAGAATAAAACAATGAATAAAACTGAATCTTCTCCCAGATTCAGTAATTATCATTTTGCCTTTTTTTTCTTTTAGTACTGGGGTTTGAAACCAGGGCCTTCACACTGAACCTCATCCCCAACCCTTTCTTATTTTTATTTTGTGACAGGTTCTCACTTAGTCATTAAGCTGCCCATGTTGGGCTTGAACTTGTGATTCCTGCCTCAGCCTCTCAGAGTGCAGGGTCCAGTGTGGTGGAGCATGGCAGTAATCCCAGCACTCGGGAGGTTAAGGCAGGAGGGTTGCCATGAGTTCAAGGTCAGCCTGCATTACATAGTGAATTCAAAGCCAGCCTGAACTATGTATGGAGATCCTGTCTCAAAAAACCCAGAGTGCTTGGATTATAGGTGTGTGTCACCATACCTGACTGTATTTTGTCATATTTAGTTAATGATTTTTCTCTTTCTACACACACACACACACACACACACACACACACACACACACAGACACAGAGGAATGGGAGAGAACATAAGTGAAAGGAAAGTATATACACTTTTTGTTTGTTTTGTGGTACTGGGAGTTGTTTATTTTTTAATTCTGAGACAGAATCTTGCTAAGTCATTAACTTGCCCAGGATGGTCTTGAACTTGTGAGCCTCCTGCCTCAGCCTCCCAGAGTGCTGGGATCACATACTTCTGTTGTTTTTTGAGATCAAATCTTGCTGTATTGCTCAAGCTGGTCTCGAAACACTTAGGCTTATGCAATCCCCTGCCTCTACCTCCCACGTTACTGGGACTATAGGTGCACACCAGCAGGCCTCATCTTGAAGGCATTTCTGCACTGAAGTGCTTGTGATTAAATTGTAAATGTCACAGTTCTTTACCCTGAAATACTAAACAGAACTATCATCAAAATCGGGAAGTTTAATGTGTTGGTGCAATGCTCTCATCTATGTGCCACGTTAATTAAAATTTTGCCAATTATTCCCATAATGGGCTGGGGATTTAGCTAAGTGGGTCCGCTGCCTGCCTTGCAAGCGCAATTACTGGAGGAGTTTGATCCCTGGTACCAAAAAAAACCCCAAAACAATTATTCCCATAATGTCCCCTCCTGACCCGCCTACTGCCACTCCCTTTTCACCCAGTTCCTTCTTCCTCTGCTCATTTGCCCATCCTTTCTCCTTTTCCTCATGCTTTGTTGTTGTTATTGTTGTTGTTCTGGGGGCTGAGCCTGGTGTTGTACACTGATGCACTAAGCACTGAGCTGCCCTCCCATCCCTCTTCCTCTTCTTATTCCTCCTGCTCCTCCTCCTCCTCCATTCTTCTCCTTCTCCTCTGCCTTTTGCCTTCTCTTTTCATTTTTTGGCTGTTTTCTCTGGCCCAGGATCCACTCCAGCTCACACATAGCTCTTAGATGTGTCGCTTTCATTACTTTAATCCTTCAATTACTTCCTCCGTCTTTGTCTTTCATGACATTGATTGTGTGTGTGTGCGCGCACATGTGTGTGTGGGTGCCTGCGTGTGTGTGTGTGTGTGTGTGTGTGCGCGCGTGAAGTGCCGGCCAGTTACTCAGTAGACTGTCCCTCCACTGGAATTTTCTGATGTTTGGTCATAAACATACTCACATATGCATTTTTGACAAAAAGCAACAACAACAAACAAAAAAACCACAAAAATGATGTGGCCTTTCTCAGGGCATGATGTCAGAAGGCACATGACAGTGATTCATCTCGTTTTAAGAGATGTTAACTTTAAGGCTGGGTGTGGCGGCACACTCTTGGAATCCCAGCACTCGGGGCTGACGCTGACGCAGGAGTGTCACCATGATTTCAAGGCCAGCTTGAACTTCATGGCATAGCGAGATCCTGTCTCAAAAAAAAAGGACATGTTAATTCTGACCACTTGGTTAAACTTCTGGCTACCAAGTCTCTTCGCTGTTAAATTATTATTTTTGTAACTAGTCAGGTAAATAATTTGTCAAGTAAATTAACACATTTATTATTTTTTTTGAGACAGGGTCTCACTATATAGCCCAGGCTGGCTTTGAACTCCCAGTGATCCCCCTGCCTCAGCCTCCCGACTAACCTCCCCCCTGCTGTGCACCACCACATCCGACTAACACATCTTTTTTTTGTTTTTTTTCTGGTATCAGTGATAGAACTCGGGTCCTTGCACTTATGAGGCAGGCGGCAGAACCACTGAGCTAAATCCCTGGCCTTTAACACATCTTTTAAATGAAATAAAATTGACTCTGAAAATTTCACTACATAACCCTTATTTTTCTTATTTTGCTTGCCTAGTCAAAATGGCCTCAAGATCATCAATGACCAATAGACTGGCTCTTGAAAACCCAAATCAAATCACTCATTTATTAAAAAAAAAAAAAAGAATGTTATATACACACTGTTTCAGAACCCGACTTCTCCATTGAACCCTTTCTTTGGTCAACGTGGACCATCCCTGAAGCCATTTCTTGAGCTTCCCAAGAGCAGGATCTGATACAGAGACACAATGGTTCTGAAACCTAAGGGCCCAGATGTTATACAGAGTCACAAATCCTGTCCTCAAGTCCAGGGATGCAGCAAGGATTTCCTGTGATGAAATATCAGTGCTCACATGTTTCTGTTTTAATTACCTTTCCCTAAACTGTACTGTAGCAATGAAGAACCCAAAGATTTCTTCCTCATGCACATTTTGCCAACTGTAGTCACTGGTGGTTCCACTGTGTTATAATCTCCATTCTGGGATCCAGGCAGCAGGCATAGCCTCTATCTGACACATGTCTACCTCATGGCAGAGGGGAAAAGAAGGTAGAAGAGGACTTCTGGGAAGATGGTGGAGTGGTAAGAAACAACAAATCAACTTCTCCAAGATTCAGAATCCAGACACTGGAAAATAACAATCTGGGGAAGAAAAGAAGGAGAGAGGTGGATTCCCAGGACCCAGGAAAGATCTGAAGGGAAAATTTGAGCCCATAGAGAAAGTGAAGAGACAGATCTCAACACAGAAAAAGGAGGAGGCAAACTGCACTTTTCCCCCTGGCTCCTGCCTCCTGGTGTGAGAGAAGAGGATCAAATCTACAGAGACACAGTGAGGGCAGGTGACTCCAGAGGCCTCCAGGGAGAAGGCATCAGTGGAATGGAGCAGTGGATGCTGTGCATTACAACAGCTGGTAAGCGAATCCAGTCTAAGTGACTGCAGTGTCCCCTGGAGATTGAGCTTTGTCAGATGCCATTTTAGGGAGGAGCCCACTGAACCCAGGACTCAGAGCAGCTGTGAGTTGGCTTCATCTCAGGGCTCCCAGTGTTAAAAATCCACAGTGACTGGATGAGGGACAAACTACAGGGAACATCCAGGGTTAGGGAGCTATGATCAGGCTGACAAGAGACACCCAGGATGTTATAAGCTAAACAACTCAGGCCCCAACCTCATGACCAGAGGCCAGGATCAGCCTGAACTTCTGTGGATTTGAAAGTATAAGATGCCAGGTGTGGTGGTTCATGCCTGTGAGCCTAGCACTTGGGAGGCTGAGGCAAGGGGATCACTTCGAGTTCAAAGCCAGCCTGGCAAGACTCAAAAAAAGCACCAGAACCAGCACTCTGCCCTAATCATACTGCAGGCTTTCTGGGATTATCTAGCATGGATTTGGACTCTAACTGCCTCCTTTATCAGCAAAAGCAGAGTCACACCCTAAATTGGACACTACCACACAACTGTAGACCTCAGAAGATGACTACAGACTTGAAATCACAGAGCTATTTCTTTTTTTCTTTAACTTTTGGGGTTTTTTATTGTTTGTTTGTTTGTTTGTTTGTTGTTTTGTTTTGTTTTGCTCTTGTTTCTGTTTTTTTCTTTCATTTTTTCCCTTCTGTCTTGTTCACCAGATTCCTGAGGTTTTGGTAATCTTCCTTTGTCCTTCAGCTTTGCTTCTAATCTCTTTCTCTTCTTTTTTTTCTCTATTTTTTTCCTTTCATCCTTTTTTCTTTTTGTGCTGGGGATTGAACTCAGGACCTTGCACTTGCGAGGCAGGCAGCGGAACCACTGAGCTATATACCTGGCTCCTTTCACCCTTTTTAAAATGTCTCCCCTTAGGGTAAAATCGCTGTATTAGGTGGATATTTACTGTATATAATTTTCTGATTT